CCCCTCCCCTCCCCTCCCCTCCCTTCCCTGTCCCTCCTCTCTCTCTCTCCTCCCTCTCCCTCCTCTCCCTCTCTCTCTCTCCCCCTCTCCTCTCTCTTCCTCCCCTCAAAGATATATAAACTTTTTAAGAAAAAGAATTTTTCAGCTCCAAAATTCCCACTGACACCTATAATGTCTATAGGCTGCAGATCATGTATTAATTTTGCACATTTGCTTTACCACCTTAACTAGATTGTAAGTTGTTGACAGAGGCAGTGTCCTTACCATTGTTTGTATTACACCTAGGGCCCCCAACACAGCAGTACTGGGTGGCATTTGTCAGTAATGTAATTATATTATCATTACTTAATACTAGGTGCTTCGAGATTTATAAAATTTCATATTACATTCTATAGGAAAGCAAAGATATTTATTCATACTTATGATCTATTCATGTGCATTTAAATGAGGTACCTTCAGAATAACAAGCAAATGGAATAATTAATCAGTAGGCACAAGAGCTATTCCCAACTGGGAAAGACAAACTTTACATTTTAACTCTGCTGCCAGAATTGAAGAACATCACTCACTCCTGGGTAATTCCTAGACTGCACCTCTGCCTGACCAGCAGGTAGCTGTTGGCATCCGTCAGCCATACAGCACTCGCTTCCATCCGCGGCTTCAACACTTAAGGCGATGGGGGCAGGGGGAGGGGAGACTCTCAGGCCTCTGTGCTCCAGTTTCCTCGTCTACGAAAGGAAAAATAGTACCTACCTCGTAGTGTGGCTGTGAGTTAATATACTCAACATACTTTGAACGGCACCCAGCACGTGGTAAACACCATGTGTTCACTATTAGTATTAACATTGGTGTCATCAGTACTAATATTATTAGCAGTTTGGGTTTGGGTTTGTATCCATTAACTATCATCACAGTTGTACCCCACACTGACTGTATTAATTTCCTGGGACTGCTGTAAAAAAAATTATCACATACTTTTGGTGACTTAAAAACACATTGATTCTCTTACAGTTCTGGAGGCTGGAAGTGTGAGATCAGTGTCCCTGGGCCCAAATCAGGGCGTGGCCAGGGCCGTGTCCTCTCTGGTGGTTATAGGGGTTGATCCGTTGCGTGCCTGTTCCTGCTTCCGGTAGCTGCCCACATTGCATGGCTCATGGCTTCCATCTCTGCATCCACAGTCACAATGCCACCTCCTCTTCTATCTTCGGCTCTCCTACTGCCTCCCTCGTAGAAAGATACCTGTGATCACATTTATGTTCCAGTTAGACAACCTAGTATAATCTACACATTTCAAGATTCTTTTTTTTTTTTTAATATTTTTATTTATTTCTAGGAGGGAGAGAGAGAGACAGCATGAGCAGGGGAGGGTCAGAGAGAGAGGGAGACACAGACTCTGAAATAGGCTCCAGGCTCTGAGCTGGCAGTCAGCACAGAGCCCGATGCGGGGCTCGAACCCACGAACCGTGAGATCATGACCTAAGCAAAAGTCAGATGCTTAACCGACTAAGCCACCCAGGCGCCCCTACACATTTCAAGATTCTTAACCACATCACATCTTTGAAGTCCTTTTTTGCCATTTGCAGTAATGTTTACAGGCTCCAGGGATTAAGAGGTAAAAATCTTTTCAATGGTGGGGGGTGGGGGGTTACACCTGGGTGGCACAGTTGGTTAAGTGTCTGACTCTTGATTTCGGCTCAGGTCGTGATCTCATTGTTTATGAGTTTGAACCCTGTAATACTTGGGATTCTCTCTCTCCCTCCTTTTTTTAAAAAAAAATTTTAATGTTTTAATGTTTATTAATGTTTAGTAACATTAATGTTTAATGTTATTTTGAGAGGGAGAGAAACAGAGCATGAGTGGGGGAGGGGCAGAGAGAGAGGGAGACACAGAATCTGAAGCAGGCTCCAGGCTGTGAGCTGTCAGCACAGAGCCCGACACAGGGCTCAAACTCCCAGTCCACAAGATCATGACCTGAGCTGAAGTTGGATGCTCAACCAACTGAGCCACCCAGGTGCCCCCGTTCTCTCCCTGCTTCTGACTCTCCCCTGCTCATACTCTCCTCTCTTTCAAAATAAATAAGTAAACATTAAAAATTAAAAAAAAAATCTTTTCAGGGGCCATTATTCAGCCTACCACATCCTTCTAAAACATAATGGCTATAACAGTCAGACTATTTCTTCCTCGTGTGTCTGAGGCTTGGCTGGCCATTCTTGGCTGATCCCACCTCAGGCCATGGGTCAAGTATAGATTGGCTCCACATGTTGGTCATTTTTCTGAAGTTAGTAGATCTCTGGGTCATGTTCTTCTTGTGGTGATGGCAAAGCTTAAGAGGTTAAGGCTGACTACACAAGCACATTTCAGCTGTTCAGCTTATATGCACTTATATCCCATGACCAAAGCAGATCATAGCAATGGGATGACCCATGGATATTAGGAGGGAAGGAGTGAATATTTGCTGTAATAATAGAAAATTGTTCTCTGTAGGTGACAGTGACTTATAGCTAAATCAGTAATACACTTATTTGGGTGGGGAAATAAAATCCAAGATTAAAAGCAAAGCTATTTATTTCATAATAAGACCATTTTCTACAGTTTTTATTTGGTAAGTCAAGGAGCTATGTCTGTGTGGCCTTACTCTGGCCAAATAAATACATTCCTTAATATGTTGATCCTAAAGGATTTGTTCCATGATTTTTTATTTAGGAGATAAACTTCTAAATACATGGAAACTCTAAGACTCTTTGGGAGTCATTTTATCAGCATGTAGTGACTCAGTGAATTCCATGGAGGTATGAAAAGAAAGCATAGATTTTTCTGCCCCTTTGGAAAAACAGAACATTTGCTGGATAGCCTCTCAAAAAGAGCTGTGAACTGGAGCAGACCCATTGGCTGCTGAATTAAAGCCAAAGCTATAATCATTATGGTATTTTTTCATGTCATCCATGGCCTGTGAACTTGACTAGGGGCTCATCAAAGTATCCAACCATGAGTTGGCTCCATATAAATAAATTGGAATCTGATTTTTGTTCATTTGAAAAACCAGCATAAAATATTTGTGTATTTGAAGTTGATAGCATTTCCCAGCCTACGGTATTTTTTTCCTCTTTCCTCTCATTCTAATAATAGAGGAATTATGTCATACCCACATGCCTTGCATGAGAAGGAACAGTAGAGTTTATGGGCTCTTAGTCTCATTGACCTCAACAGAGAGAATAAGGATATAGCGCGTCACATTTTTCTTAGTCATCTGATAAAATGCACTGACACTAAGGTGTTGACTTTGGTCGAAAGAAGGAAAATAAGGCAAAGGGGGAGTTTTTTATGAAAAGTCTTATAACTGAAATGAAGAAACTTAATTTAGAACATCTGCATTTTCATAGCTATAACACAGGCTACTTCTTCTGTAAGACATAGATGTTAAGTTTTCGGGAAATTCTTTCAATATGCAAGGAATAATCCCTACAAACCAGACTCTCACACAGCAGATTACTCACTGGCACATTGGCAGCAGTTTCTCAGGTTGTTGCTCATTTGTGCCTGTCGGCTAGATTGCTCTAGAACCATCCTTGAACTGTCGTGTCGGCCGTCAGCATTGATTGTGAAATTCCATTCAGACGCGAGACCTGCCTGGCAGCGGCCATGTATTTATTCCTTGAATGTTTCATAATTTGCTTGGTGCATATTCACAGTTACGCACCAGGATAAGCTCTTTCTTTTAAGTGAGCTCTTACACCCTAAGGTTACTGAGCTTTTCTTGGATGCAGAGCGCCTCTGGGCCTTTTTGACAGATGAGCAAGTGTTCTTTTAAATGTACACAAAAGATATTTAGTTTCTTCAACCAATAAGCATTTATTCAGCATATATACTTACTGCTGGACACTCACAGGAAATGCTGTGGTGAATAGAAATAATCTGAGTCATTGTAGAGCATATGTTCTCACTGAAGAGTAGTAAGAAAATAAGTCCATAAGTAATTACACATTGGGGACAGCCATGAAGGAAAGGAAGGGCTCGGTTGGGGCAGTCATTCAGAGGGAAAGGGAAATGTACTTTGAATAGGCTGGTAAGGGAAGACCTCACTGAGGAGGTGACATTTAGCTAAGGCCAAAAAAAAAAAAAGAGAGAAGGATGTGACCCTAGGAAGAGTGTGGGGAGAGAAGGTTCAAGCAGGGGCAGGGGGGATACATACACAGAGAGGCTGCAACAAGAAAAAGCTTAAACATCTGGAAGGCACTTTAAACAGTATCAGTATAGGGGCGCCTGGGTGGCTCAGTCGATTGAACATCTGACTTCAGCTCAGGTCACTATCTCACAGTTGGTGAGTTCGAGCCCCACATCAGGCTCGCCGCTGTCAACACAGAGCCCACTTTGGATCTTCTGTCGCCCTCTCTCTGCCCCTCCCTACTTGTGCTCTCTCAAAATTAAACAATATCAGTACAGTGTCTGTGCTCTCACTTTTTGTCACTGGTGCACATCCACTTTAAGGTTCACTGCAGCAGAGTTTTAGGTCTGTGCAGATTTTCAGCTGGAATTTAGGTTTTGCTTTTCTGGAAGGATGCCTACAGGGCAGCTATAGAAAAGTCCATGAAATATTGATCACAAGCCAGTGGAGATGAATGGGAAAAAAATTAAAAGGAGGAGGACAAGGAGGAGGTAGATTTTGATGATCCTAAAATATCTCTAAGGTTCACACACAGAAAGAGCACATTAGGCAGTCTGATGCTGGTGTTCATTTGAAAAGCAGTCTGATTTGTTCTCTGAATTCAAGATATGCTTGCTCTGACTTTGTGTGGAACTGCTCACTTCTTATAATTGATCCATAGTATATACTCTTCTCACTATACCTTATGCCTTTTTCAGTCAAATAATTTTATGAACTTGTGTGTGTCTGTGTGTATACGTATAATTATATGTATATTATATACATATAAATATTTTATTTTTAATATATATATTTCTCTCCCTCCCCCCCACCCATTACCTCCCAGTAGCTTTTTCCACCACTGTTTCAGAGGAGTCATCTTCATTTCCAATATTAACTAAAATAGTGCCTGCCCGGGTAGGAGCTGACTTAGATCCAAATAGAATATTTCTCCTGTCACAGTCATGGCTACAGCTGGTAACCCATTTTTATTTCAAAGAATCCAAAGCTTTAGTTAGCATTTCACACATCTTTAATTATGGATAATCTACTGAGATAGACACAATGTCCTGACATTCATAAAGTGATTGTAAAATAAAGGCTCTTCTCCACTTGTGATTGAGCCCCCCACCTCCCATCTCCCATAGAGTTTACATTTTAACAAAACAAAATCATTTTATAGGCACATACTTGATTTTAAAGTTGAGAAGGCCTTTCGAAGTACAGCAACAGCACAAGAATACAAAAAGACAAAGATTGATAGGTATCCGTGCGTAAGCATGTAAAATTCCAGCTTCTAAAAAAAAATGTAGAACAGTGTGTTCAGTTGCAAAAAAGAGAGAAAGTGTCATAGAAAACAAAAGAAAGTGCAATCCAAACCAGCATAGAATTTGTAACAGGAATTTGGTGACAAGCCTCCCTTGCACCTGCAATTGGATCATCTTCATTCTAAGTGTGGCTCCCCCTAGTGGTTGCAAGATGGCTGCTAATAATTTCAGCAACCACATTTTCTCCATGGTCAAGGAGAGTCACTTTCAGAAAGAAGTCCTTGGATGTTTTCTCAAAAAAGTGAGAAATTTCCTTCCTCAGAACCACTTGTCCAAATCCTTCTTGTGTTTTATTCACTTGACCCAATAACCATGGTCAGGAGATGGTAAAGGGCAAAATGCTAAGAAATCTTTGCAAATGTAATAAAAAGTTGGCTTATTTCATATATAAAAAGCCTTTACAAATCATTATGTAAAATTATAAGTATGTGATGGGCAAAAAAGGAATGAGGAGATATTTCACAAAAGAAAACTTCAAATAGCTCATGAATTTTAAAAAGTTGAATAGCACTAATAATTTCATCATAGCAACAATGTATTATCAGTTCAGTCAATTCTTTTTAACTGTTCACATGGTAGAGTTTGGAAATGGGAACTTTAATATGTGGTAGGTGAAAACAGCGACAATTCTGTGTCTAGAACCTCATCGTAAATCATTCATGTACATGAATTTAGGTATGATGATACCACTAAAATGGTATTTATGATTGCCAAAAAAAGAAAGAAAATACCCTGGGGCGCCTAGGTGGCTCAGTTAGTGAAGCATCCAACTCTTGATTTCAGCTCAGGTTGTGATCCCAGTGGTGTGGGATCAACCCCACATCGGAGTCTGCACCGACAGCATGGAGACTGCTTACAATTCTCACGCTCCCTCTCTCTCTGCCCCTCCCCAGCTTGCTCTCTCTCTCTCTTTCAAAGTAAATAATCTTTTAATAGAAAACACCAAAAATATCTTCTAGCAGAGTACCGGTTAACTGAACCATATACATCTGTCTGACTGCGTACCATCAGTCAGGTCATTCAGAATCACATTACAGGAGGCTTTTTGATCACATGGGAAAATGTACCTGGTGTATCCAATAAAAGCCATTCTAGAGCATTTTATGATTATTATGTGACCTTAATTTTGTATAAAATATATATTTAATCATAAAAGAAAGTGAGTCCCTTTCACTACCTAAAACTGAAGCAACAAAACAGAAAAACCACTTCTGGATAGCAGTGTACCATAAACAGAATCCGAAGGTCACCGGCTGGAAAGAGATTTAAAACACCAGTGACAAAAGGATCATCCCTTTCATTTATAAGGAGCTCATATAAGTCAATAAAAAAGACAACTGAAAGAAAATGGATTAAAAAGAATAGAAATACACAGTTACAAAAGAGAATTACCAGTGATGGATAAAAATATGAACTTATTTGAGGTGCCTGGGTGGCTCAGACAGTTGAGCATCTGACTCTTGATGTCAGCTCAGGTCTTGATCTCAGGGCCATGAGTTGAAGCCCTGCATTGGGCTTCATGCTGGGTGTGAAGCCTACTTTAAAAAGACATATTATGCTAAGCAAAATAAGTCTGAGAAAGACAGATCTCACATGATTTTACTCATGTGGAATTTGAGAAACTTAACAGATGATCATAGGGGAAGGGAAGGAAAAACAAGATAAAAACAGGAGGCAAACCATAAGAGACTCAAACACAGAACAATCTGAGGGTTGATGGGGGTGGGGAAAATGGGCGATGAGCACTAAGGAGTGTACCTGTTGGGCTGAGCACTGGATGTTATATGTAAGTGATGAATCACTGGATTCTACTCTGTATGTTACTACATACTGTATGTTAACTAACTTGAGAATAAGTACATATATGTGTGTGTATTATTTTTTAATAGATTCTAGAGAAGATAGTTGAAAAATTAATCACATTCCTACTGACATCAATTTTTAATCTGTTGTTGGTACATAACTAAGAAACTTCACTTTTCAATATTGTATTATAAAACAATTTGGGGAAAGAAATAGGTAGTAGGAGTTTTTATGCTTATAAGTACAAGGTTATGTTTCTAGTAGGATTTTCAGTAATAATGATAGGTACAGCTACATGGGCAAATGTAAAACCTCAACATCACTGAGCACATCTAGCATTTTACTTTACATCTTTCTCTAAATAGTAACATCTCTTTCTGTATCACCACAGCATTATTCTAGCATGAACTACTTACTAATTTGATCCCATGTATCACCCACTATTGTAAATTATGCATTCAATGTCATTGTATTGGGAGGGGGACAGTAATTGAGTTATGGCCAGTAATGGTATTCATAGTTCCTTAGTCCTATTATGTTCAACTTGTGTAAACTTGAACTGTCAAAAAAAGTATCTGTCCTTGTTAAGTGTTCATTTTCTTATCCTGCTATTCCCCCTTACACTAAGTACAGTCTAAGACAGGAAGATGAAAAGAGGAAGCATATTTAACGTTTACCCTAAATATTCCAAGGGCCCTTATCCAGATTATTCCCTTTCCTCAAGAAACATCTTTACCCAATATCCCTGTCATGGTGAGCACTAGTAACTGATGGCATGCTGGGACACGGGGATACATTGAGGAGCACTGGTCTAAACACAACCCTACTAGCACCATCTTACATTGCCTACAACCAGAGCCAAGCTACTAGCAAGAGCTGTGAATGTGGATTGCCTTCCTCTGTAGAAACAGAGATCTCAGGTCTGGAAAATGATGGTTCGCCGTGTCAAGCATTTGCCAACAGAAATACGTTAATGTATGACTTAAAGAAACTTAAGTCAAATATATGCCTTGTGGTTTTTTTATGGTGAATTATTAGAGAAACTAAAGGAGTGCTTTTTAAATACCTATTTTTTTAAGTTTATTTATTTTAAGAAAGAGCAAGAGAGCAAGAGAGAGAGCGAGAGAGCAAGCATGTGAGCAGGGCAGGGGCAGAAAGAGAGGGAGAGAGAATCCCAAGCAGGCTCTGTGCTGTAAGCACAACTCAGGGCTTGAACCCAATAACCATGAAATCAGGACCTGAGCCAAAATCAAGAGTTTGATGCTTAACCGACTGAGCCACCTAGGCACCCCTTAAATACCTATTTTTAATGTATGTCAAGTGTCTAGCACAAAGCCTGGCACATAATAGTAAAATAATGTCTTCTCTCCCTTCCCTTATGGGTAGTAACAGTAAACCGAGGGAACCAAAGATCGTGGTTGTCAGTTCCATGTGTACTTTGGATTGGAAAGAACCTTTGAAATAAGTTTCTTAAATTTTTCTCATTATCAGTAACTAACAATACTAGTGCTTGTTTTTATAAGTTAGCTAATGCAACATCCTCACTTTTCAGGTGAAGAACCTGAAGTCTACAAAATTTGACTGCATAATTCACCCAGTAGTCCAGGGGAATGCTGGCCTCCTGGTCACCCCCAGACTGTGCTAGCCAGGGAGCTGTCCCTCTGGGCAGTGCTGGACTTCTTGTAAAAGTCTCACTGTGACTGAGGATTCACGCTTTGTTACATGACTAGATCTTAATTTTTAAGGAATTAGTTGTAGTTGTTTTCCAGGGATTTCATGGGCATTTTGGTTTTTCTAAGATATCATGGGTGTCTGCCCTGTCTTCCTCCATATTCCCTACGGATACTACACGTACAGTAGGACTTTAGGAAATTCTTGTAGAATGAACCAATGCTCAAAATAATGCTGTGCCAAAGCAGCATATTTTGGGATGGCTTATCTTGACTCCCTTCCAAATGAGTGAGTAATCTGTATACAAAGGATTCTGTCGTCAAATATGTTTTTTAACTTCTGTTGAACAAAGTTAAAATAGATTTATTTACATGAAACTTTTCAGAGCTTTTAATATGCTAAATGTGCATCATGACTTTCCCCAAGAAATTACAGTTTGCAGCTTTCCTGAATTTAATGAAAATGGAGCTCTTTTTCAGAGAGCATTTCAAAGGCCCTGTGTCCCAGAATTCACTTTTGGAACTCTATAGAAAAGAATGTTAGGATGAACCTTTGGCAAGTCCTTTCAAATATCAGTTATTATCTGAGTTTTTGCATGATCTAGGGAACCATTCAAACTTGAGATCATTTGCAAGCATCTGAAAGCAAAGGTCTACTGGGTTACTTTTTTAAGGAGTTCTGCATGTTTTAAATACTAAACATAAAGGAAGAAAAGTCGGGTCATTTGTGACACAAGGTAAAAGTCCAACTTGTACCCTGTCAGTATTAGATGGAGGTAGATCTGGGGGTGGACAAGGCAGTGGACATCTCAGACAAAGCTGAAACATCCCTAAGACACCGTGTCAGATCTGTTCACATGCCCACATACGTGACCAACCATATTGTTCCCTGTCAAAGAGCAGATTTGAGAGACCCTTGACCTCAGAGATTTTGAAGGTGAATTATCAATTTTGTACGTCCTCTTTCAAGAAAACAAAGTCAAACCAGAGAGAGCAATCACTTCAGTACAGTGCCACATAGTGTTTACCTTTGAACAGGATTGAATCCTGAAAGACCCAACAGAACTATTTAATCCATTAGCTGGAGTAATTTTAATTGTCTTCAAAATAATTGCATTTGGAGCTTTGATAGAGTTAATGCTCAGTTGGTCTTCTGACACTAATTGACCAAGAGGTTCAGTTGCTTCTTGAAGTTACAGTTTACAAGTAGGCTGTCAGATCGTGGTATCATCATAGTAAAGAAGTGATTAGCAGGCAATAGTTGTGTACACTGCAGAATTACAAGGCTACCATTAGCCAGATCCATTCTGGATGAGGCCACATATAAAGGGTATGAGTCCTAAATGAAGGTTTACAAGTCAACTGACTTTGCAAGTTAATGTACCAGACCAAGGTAAAGCAGCTGAGGGATGGTAAAGTATACTCCATCAGGCATACACAACCCATACACAACCCACACTCAACTAAGTTCATCAGGACAGCTTATAATGATCAGACTCATATCTTCCTTCCTTCCTCCCTCCCTCCCTCCCTTCTTTCCTTCTTTCTTTCTTTCTTTCTTTCTTTCTTTCTTTCTTTCTTTCTTTCTTTCTTTCTTTCCTTCTTTCTTTCTTTCCTTCTTTCTTTTCTCTTCATTTTACTGGTTTTACTTTGTTTACTGACTAAAGTCTTGGTTATTTTATTACTTCTTAATTTCCCCTTATATCCTCGAGAAGCTATTAATTTATCTATAAAAATAAGGAATTTTGTATCTAAATATAAGCTCAGAACCTACAAATTTATCCACTCAGTCTTATTTTCTTTTTGTTACATACTAACCTGCTCTTCTGGCAAAAACATTGGCACTGTCACTTTATAAATAGTACCTCAAGTCTTTATTCATCTTGTCCCTCATAGAATATTTGAGTTGAAGAGGAATAACTTGGAAAGATGTTACTTTCTTTGAGTCTTTTTTTAAAAAATAACTCCTAGAAGAGGTCATGCCTTCATTAATCAATCATGAAATATCCCCAGTAGGATGCAACCATCATACTCTACAGTAGTTCCTCGTTGTCCACAGGGGATACATTTCAGTACCCCTAGTGGATGCCTGAAACCACAAATAGTACTGAACCCTATACATACTGTGTTTTTTCCCATATGTACATACCTATGATAAAGTTTAATTTATCAAAGAGTACAGTAAGAGATTAACAACCATAACTAATAATAGAGCAATTTTAACAATATATTATAATAAAAGTTACGTGAATGTGGACTCTCTTTCAAAATCTTATTGTACTGTACTCACCCTTTTTCTTATGATGATGTGAGGTGATAAGTTGCCCATGTGATGAGATGAAGTAAAGTGAATGACATTGGCCTTGTGATGCAGCATTTAGCTACTATTGACTTTCTGGTGATACCTCAGGAGTATCATCTGCTTCCACAACGTGGTTGACTGTAGGCAACTGAAAATGCAGAAAGCAAAACCATGGACAAGGGAGGTGGGGACGGGTGGCGGTGACTACTGTAATTTGATAGGAATGTGGAAAGATTTTCTGAATTTTACAGTTTGCTTATAGTTACCTAAATAAATTCTTCTCTCCAACTCTTTAACAATCATAAACTGTCATAACTCTGCCAAAATAACTACCTGGGGGAACTTAAGTTAGAAACATAGGAAAGATACTTCTCCCAAAAGTTGTCCCTAGGCATGGAGGGCCCAGGGAGCTGAGATTTTGAAGGGTTCTGGTTGTGGAAACCAAGAGAATATCCAATTCAGAGCACTAGGGAACTGTTTGAGAACAGGACAGAAAGGGTCTAACCCTCATGAGGACTAGAAAACAAAAATAGAAAAACAAAACACAGAGAACCGGGGGAAAAAAAATTAAAAAAGGATGGAAAGCTGACCTGTGTTTATTTCTGAGACTAAACTGAAGATATGTAATTGACCTACTTCTTAATAGAGCATAACCTAGAATCCTACATCTTTTGCAAAATGAATATTGTACTTTAATGACAGCCAGATGTTGCTTTGAAATGCCTGACCACTGAGGAAGTATGCACCAGAGGAAAGCATGGTAGAACTAAGATGGCATTATAAAAACATCTGTTTAAACATGACAGATTGTATTTATATCCACTCCCTCTCAAACCCCCTAAATGAGCAGTAAGGGATAAAAATGGTAGAAACCCACAAGGACAGATAGAACCATTGTAGCAACAACAGCAGACAAGGGCAACAACAGCAACATAATTTTGGAAGTAGGTGGATGTGTGGTTAGTCCCCCAAGCAGGTGGAGAACATCTAAGTGCCTGCAGAGAAGAAGGCAGATGGGGAAGCCGATTTACCCAGCCACAGGGCTATAGAAAATCCAGGAGTAGGAAGGGCCAAGTACCTCTGAAGGTAGTTATAAGGGGGAGAGCTGAAGGAGGAGGTTGGTTAACAATCTGTATAAAAAGCAAAATAAAGGTCTCCTCCCAGACCTCACAAAGCCAGGTGACTACCTCAGTCTCATTCTGGTAGAAGCAGCTTACTTTGAAGAAGCTCTGGACTCTAGGGAACACCAAGCACAGTGGAGGACAGGGGTCAGGCACCGTATCAAAACCAAGAAAATTAAGTGAAAATCTGGATACTAAAAATTCCTGCCCACCCCCCCCCCATGCCTCTTTACTCAGAATTCTGACAGTAAAGAGGAAAAACACACATAGTGAAGGGGAATTCTGGAGTTCCCATAATTACTTTATGTATTAAAGCACCCCCACTCGTAAAGCACATACACAGATTTTTCTAGTGGCATTCGGTAATGGATGGCTGAAGATCCCCAGACATTTGGACATTTGAGGAAGGCCTCTAGCACAAAAGGCTGAAACCAAGATAAATGGGAGAAGAAGGGATTTAGAAGTAATACAAAATGCAGGGAGCAGTGCAAAAAGTAAAACCATGATTTATATCCTCAGAGAGGAAAAATGAGATGCTGCTTTTGTTACACAAGAGCAATGTGCTTTTAAAAGAAATATTTGGAGAACACAGACGAGCTCTTGAAAATGGAAAACATGACAGACAAAATGAAAGATTTAGTATGAGGCTTGGAAGATGAAGGTGAAAGCATTCATTCACTCAGCAGATACTCTTGAGTGGCTACCGTGTCCTTGACATTATTCTAGGCAGTGGCATATGGTCTGTGAGCAAAAAAGACAAAGAGCCCTTGGCCTGGTAGAACTTACATTCCAATAGGAGGAGAGTGTAAACAGTGCAATAATACATGAGTTACATGCTGTGTTACAAAGTGTCAAGTGCTAGGGGCGCCTGGGTGGCTTAGTCGGTTAAGCGTCCGACTTTCGCTTAGGTCATGATCTCACGGTTCATGGGTTCGAGCCCCGCGTCGGGCTCTGTGCTGACTGCCAGCTAGGAGCCTGGAGCCTGTTTCAGTCTGTGACTCCCTCTCTCTCTGACCCTCCCCTGCTCATGCTGTCTCTCTCTCTCTCTCTCTCCTAGAAATAAATAAAACATTAAAAAAAATTTTTTTAATTTCCTTTAAAAAAAAAAAAAAAGAGGGTGCTGGCCTGTTCGAGGGGGGTTGGGGAGGTGGGGGTGGAGAGAGAGGTGGGGGTGGGAGGTCAGGGGTGGGGGGGGTGGCAAGGTTGCTGGAGTGAATGGGGTGGGGGATGGCCTGTGCGCAAGGGGATTGTGCCAGGGTGGCTGGAGTTGGGGGTGGTGGCTGGAGTTCGGTGGGGGAGGTAACGGCACCAGAGAACGCAGAGCCTTGTATGTTAGTGTGGGGGCTCCTCAGGGAACTACAGAGTGGTAGCAAGTGGCAGTTTTAAGCAGAGAAGTGACAGGATCTGATTTTGCTCTTGGAAGGATCACTCTGGGTACTGTGTGGGCAGAATCGACTACAGGGGGTTAAAGTACACGGAGAGGAATTGGATTCACTCAATAGCAGGGATGTATCCCCTGTTCTCTAATGGTCTCTCTTTGTACCTCGGCTGTTCCCTCTGAGTCAGCCTCTCTGTTTGCCTCTGTCCTTTTTCCTACCTAAGAAATAGCTTGCTGGCCCTCTCCTCTGTCAGTCTGCCCTCTGCTTTGTATCTCCTGATTAACTTTCCCTCCCAGATCCCATTGTGTCTCCTTCAGCTTTCAGCTTCCAACATATCCTAAAACACATAGTATCTGGTTGGTTCCTCTTTAAGGTTAATAGTGTTTTAACAAGGGCCCCTTTGGCTCCCTTGTTTTTTTGTTAGACATGCAAATAAGCATTGAATATTTGCTTATTGAATATAACATTTAATTCTCCGTTTTCTGACATTTCATCATGAGGCAAAGTCCTCTACAGGCACACGCTTTATATGACTCTTGAAAAACCCTTGGGGGCCTGGGCGGCTCAGTCGGTTGAGTGGCTGACTTCGGCTCAGGTCATGATCTCATGGCTCATAGTTTCGAGCCCCGCGTCAGACTCTGTGCTGACAGCTCAGAGCCTGGAGACTGCGTCGGATTCTGTGTCACCCTCTCTCTCTGACCCTCCCCTGCTCACACTGTCTCTCTCTCTCTCTCTCTCTCAGAAATAAACAAACATTAAAAACTTAAAAAAGAAGTAGCAGTTTAAGCTGCTTTAAACAAAGATGGAAGTGGAAAAATCAGCAACCCTCCCCTACACAGACTCACAAACTCTTATGGGAACATATCTGTTGCAACCAAATATGCTTAGATTATAAGGAAAAATACATGAATGATTTTTTGCACATAGTCTTTTGCCTCTATAGTTTTTCAATGCTACTTTTTCTCCGAGTTAAAAAAAACTAAAGCCTAAGGGACTTCTGATAAAGTTGGTAACATACCCACAGGCTCACAAAACTTCCTTTCAAATTTGCTGAAATTAACAAAAATGTAAAAATTCCAAAGAACATGCCATGAACCCCCAAATCAAGAAAAGATCCCAGCTGCATACCATAAACTGAGAAGTGTCACCCAGAAGAAGAAAAGGTGGACCAAACTGAATGAAGGTACTAAAAAAAAAATCAATATATTCTTCAAAGAGAAGAATGGAACATGGAAAAGTACAAGGAGGAAATTCTGAAAAGTCTCACTGCTTTTGACAGTGCCGGCATTGTGTATAAAGGTATGCCAGAGGGAAGGCTTGGAATAATCCACACCCTCCCCCTGGGGACCCCTTCTTACATCAAGAAGACATTTTCCCTCAGGCAAGAAGAGTCCAGAAGGTTTACCATCCTTCCTTGCCTCTGATATATCAATAAGTGGGCAAAGAATAGGGGAAGCACCTGCTAGGAATAATATTAGGGCTGAATCAAGAGAAAGCTTCACAAGACATGGAAAAAAAGGATAAGCCGTCCTCATTTGAGCCAGAAGACTGCAAGACACCCCAGACTCCCTGAAGCAAACTTCTGGTGCATTTCTTTTTTTTTTTCCCTTGGTTTTTTGTTTTTTTTTTTTTTTTAATGTTTGTTTATTTTGAGAGAGAGAGAGAGACCAGAGCATGAGCAGGAGAGGGGCAGAGAGAGGGAGACACAGAATCTGAAGCAGATTCCAGGCTCTGAGCTGTCAGCACAGAGTCCGACGTGGGACTTTAACCCTTGAGTGAGATCATGACCTGAGCCGAAGTCGGACGTTCAACAGACTGAGCCACCCAGGTGCCCCTGGTGCATTTCTTTACTCTTAAAGAAGGAACTCAATGGCAGCTCAAACCCTAGCTCTCTTTTCCTTCCTCTTGGGCAACTCAGAGACTAGATAAAGCATATAAATAATGGACATCTGGTCTACATTATAGGTGGAAGAATAAAGCAGTACCCAATCCAACACTATTTGGGGGCAATTAGTAGGCTGAGAGAGAATGGCTCACGTTCATTAAAAAGTTTCCAGGACACACGGACGTGTGACTGAGGCAAAAAGTCTTCACATACAAAAAAGAAAGTAACACAGCTCACTGAGACAAATAAAGAGTAGACTCTCAAATAGTCATAACTACCCGTGCTTATTGAGTACTGGCTATCTACCTGGCACTGTTTTTTTTAAGGGTTTTATATGTATTAACACCTTCAGTCTTCATGACACTGGTAAAAGATAAGCACCATTATCATCCCTATTTTACAGATAAGAAAACTAAGTCACAGAGAAATTAAGAAGCTGGCCCAAGTGTACCCAAGGTTTGAATACAAGCATTCTGTGTCCAGAGCCTGTTCTCGGGCACTCTGCTCTTGTACTCTGAAACACAGACAGCATTTTAGGCAACTGCTTTGTGCTCTCAAGGAAATTGAAGAGAACAGAAATTTACAGGCCATGCACCCTTTCTTGGAAGCTACTGGAGAGAGGAAAACCAAAAAAAAGGAAGACAAAACCTCAGAGATCCAATATGGAAGAGTAGTTTTAAAAGTTTCTGGGATAGGAACTGTGCACTGGGCCAAAGGGGCATAAAGGATATGGGGAACATCAAAGAAAAAGACAGGTGATGTGCTCAACAATCAGAAAATTATCACCGATCATTTGATGGATCTGTTAGAGCATCTGGCAAAACTTAGCAGTAGGTATACAGAAAATAAAGCAGATTTTGAAAACGCGTCAGTTATTAACTATAAGTAAGCACAGATTTACATGACAAAGTAAAGCACAGAGATAGAGCAAATCTATATGTAACATATATAGTGTATATAATAGATATGTAAATATCATTTGTGCAATATATGGTAGTTAATATAACGTGTGATGTAAACACTATCCACTTAAAATGTATGATGTGATTATTATTGAGATGATAAAGGAGAGGTAAGAGGGAGGTGAGAGAGCCAAATCACCAATGTCTATAATCTAGATAATGTCCAAAGGGATCAACCCAGAAATAACAGTATATGTGCATTATTTGTTACCACCGGAAGCAGTAGTTAGAACAGTTGTGTGGAATGAGACTGTGAGGTGGGGCAGTGGGGGTCAGGTGGGCGAGAGGAAGAGCTGCTGTTCTTTTTTTTAAAATTATTATTATTTTAACATTTATTTATTATTCAGAGACAGAGCATGAGTGGGGAAGGGGTAAAAAGAGGGGGAGACACAGAATCGGAAGGAGGCAACAGGCTCTGAGCTGTCAGCACAGAGCCCAACACGAGGCTCAAATTCACAAACCTCAAGATCATGACCTGAGCCAAAGCTGGACGCTCAGCTGACTGAACCACCCAGCTCTGTCTTTTTAAATAAGTATTTGATTTGTAAAATACCATCTGATTTTTTTTTAACTAGGCAAAACCCAAAGAAGCCAACAACAAAGATGAAATGTTCAACGTTAAAACCTGCCCCTGAAGAAGCACTTACTTACAAAATGCTTTTTTTCCCCAGATCACTAAAGAATTAAACCAAAAACATTTTAATGAGAAACTCTGTGAACCCTCCTTGAAAATTAAGAATTGATTTCCTATACAGGTGTGGCTCCAGGGAGTCTTAATTGCCTTTCTCCTAAAGAGAAAAGCAACCAACGGTATGAAACTTTAAAAAATGTGTTTTGTTTAAGAAATTGAATCACAGACTTCCACCCTGTAATTGTATTCTTTTGGTTTTTCAAGATGCTAAAGAAGGGACCTTTATTTTAGCACTTGGGTGGAGGCGTAACAAAGCCATCTGCATGATGGATTTGGCGGTGGGGAAGAGAGCCATTTTGGCTAAAAAGGGTTGCTGTACTGATGCCAGGTGCAGAAACAAGTTTTCCCTGCCTCACGGTCTCTATATATTCTGTTTATACGTGAGCTCTAGGTTCCCGTCACAAACTGCTCATATGTCGTGTTTCCCTCCCATATCATGGCTTTTTTTGACTCGTAGGTTCCTCTTCGGGGTCTCTTGGTGACCTTCCTCACATGTTGCTTGCAAAAAAAAAAAAAAAAAATTATCCGTATCGTGCAGTGGGCTGAAAAAAAGAGAACATTGCAAGCATGTGATGGCAGTTTAGGAGTCGGCATGAAGAAATCCTAAAATGACTGAATAAAGGAGGCATTGCACAAGGTTTTCTGAGAAATTGGTGGGCACAGGTGGGGACTTAAGAGGAAATGAAAGAAACCTGAGGGAGTCTGGAAGCCCCATACCATGGGTCTTGAACCAGAGGTTGAAAATCTTGGTCCCGGGAGTCCAGAGACAGGGAGGGAGGTTGATACCAACAGCCCAGGAAGTGGGATGGTTAATTAATTAGCAGCAGTTACTATCAACTGGAACATGATGGCAGTGTGTACGGGGAATTTGTTGAAGAAAGTGATGTGGGTAGTTTGGGGTCTTGGAGACTGTAGTAGCAAAAAAGGAAGAGAAAGGGATCTTGTACAAGAAAGAGTAAGTTTCAGTGATAGAGGACAGGTATAGGGAAAGAGCCAATGATGAAATGAAGATTATAACAAATTCCTTTTTACTTGAGAGACTGGGAAGTACAGGAATATGGACAGCGGGTCCTGAAGGAAAAGTCTAAGTACTTCTGACCTCACCATGCTTGGGCAAAGCAGGCACGGAGACACTTATATATGGTCTGGTTGATTTTTGAGCACTGAAAAACAATTTAAACAAAAGATTCATACGTGTTAGTCACCTGTTTTACCCTTTCTCTGAGATTACATCTAGATTGCAGGGTAGTTTACACAGCACCTAGGGAGGAGAGCTGCTCAGGCTGTGTAGAAGCCCTTTGGTAAATCCAGTGTGTGGGTACGCTAGTGGCCAGTGGTGTAATCTGTGTAAAGCTAGGTTTCATTAGAGAACTGTAGATGTTGATGGCTTTTGGTTCTGGCTCATCCTTCCTTTCAACATCCTTAAAATATTTTTCCAGACATTTGCATTTTGGCTTTCTTCTCTTCATGACTCTTCTCTCCAGAACTCTCCTTCAGACTGGGCACACACCCCAGTGTACATCGTGAACAGAGAGACCGCCGAGGCCAATGGCCAGCATGACTCCTGGCGCCATCTGTTGGTGGCAGGCAGAACTGACATGCTTTATCCCTGCCTGATTTTGTTGGCAACATGCACCATCCCCCGTTGGTACTCTATAAGTAGAGGAGCGTATATGACTTCAAAGTCACGTACTGCTTGCTGAGCCAGCCGGCAACACTCTTCTCTTTCTTCTTTCTCCGTTGTGAAGGTGTGGCGAGGCACGCTGGCCCGCATGCGGTACAAGAGGACCAAGGCAGCTCTGACAATTATCAGATACTACCGGCGTTACAAGGTGAAGGCCTACATTCACGAGGTTGCCAGACGCTTCCACGGCATCAAGACCATGAAGGACTATGGGAAGCATGTGAAGTGGCCAACCCCACCTAAAGTTCTGCGCCGTTTTGAGGAGGCCTTACAGGCAATTTTTAATAGGTAAGAGCCTGTGGGTACATGCTGCTTCCATTTACGGTCACACACTTAATACATAAAGTCACAGATCTGCGACCGTGATATTGGCCCAGCCATTTGCCGACACGACTTTCACCTCGTGTCTTCAGGTCTGGAGGTTTCGCTTTCACAGGGCATCTGTTTACCTCTCAGAATAGCAGAACTGTGTGTATTTCTCCTGTAGCAGCTGACAGCACTTAGCCACACCGTAGTTAAGCTATTAGCATGTTGTCTCTTTCAAATTAACTGTTTATTAAAATCACCACATGGAACTCAACCCAAAAGTCTCTTAATCCTTTGCCTCTCTATCCTGGTTGTGAAACATACCAAGGAGTTTATGAAACACACCAATGTCCACATCCTGCTTCCAGAAAGTCCTGTTTAGCAGAACCGTGAAGTGGGGCCCAAACAGAGGTCCTTTTTTTTTTCTTTGAGAGAGAGAAAGAGAAAGGAGTGCAAATGGGAGAGGGAGAATCTCAAGCAGGTCCCACACCCAGCGCCGAGCCTGACGTGGGGCTCCATCCCATGACCCTGCGATCATGACCTCGGTCGAAATCAAGAATCAGATGCTCAGCCGACTAAGCCACCCAGGCGTGCCAAACAGAGGTCCTTTCTAAAGTTTCCCAGGTGACTTTAAAGTACAAGGGGGAACACAGTTGCTTCCTTTTTTTTTTTAACATAATAAACCCCCACATAAAATCTAATATCTTTTCATCTGATCTTCATTTTCAGCAAGCTGCCCTGAATCTGAGGGTATATCTAGTTATTCACAGCCCTTTCCCCTTCGTCAGATAGCCTGCTAGTTGCCACTGGGCACCAGGTAACATTTAGCTGTGGCTTAGACACAGCCATCTCGTCACACACACTAAGCTGGCAGTCTCACATGCAGTCATGTGGCATTGGGGTATTCCCCAAAGAACACTATGAGATAATCGGCATACTGAATGTAAAAGAACTAATTTCTAATTCTGTGCTAAATCAGATTTTATCTTCCCTTAGAGTTAGCTCTGTATAACTGGTGGCAGATATCAAAGATTTTTGAAAATGCAGAGGAAAAAAATTCTTTAATATGTATCCCATTTGCCTTTTGTAAAAAAAAAAGGAAAGAAAGAAAGAAAAAGGAATGATACCTCATAAAAAGAAGAAATCAAACAATAATTAAAGCAAAATTACCTCTATTCTCAGATCTAATATGATCAGTGTTCACTGTAAATCCTGGCAGGCTTTTTAATGTGCAGGTACATGTTTTTCATGAATGGTATCATCTGTAACCTGCACTTGTGACATAATTTAAAAAGTAACTGAGCTGTACATGAATACATGCTCACTATGTTTTTTTTTAAGTGAAATAATATGGAATCTACAGGATATAAAGTTGAAATTCTCCACACCTCCTCTTCTCTCCTCCATTTTATTTCCTCCCCCTGAGATAATCACTCATTAATAGTTAGTTTGTGCCCTTATATATGTCTGTGTCTGTGCATTTACAAGCACACACCCCTGTGTAAGGGACAGCATGGTATAATGGTTAAGAACACAAATCCTGAAGCCTGGGCCCATGTCCAGTCTCTATTGCTGCCTGGTTGTGTAGCCTTGGGCAAACTAGATAATCTCTCTTTCCCTTACTTTCCATACCTGTAAAAGTACCATGATAGTAGTACCTGCTTATAGGGTTGTGGAAAAGATTATGAGTAAATAGGTGTATGAAGTGTTTCAGATAGTAACTGGCACATAATAAACACTGTAGAAATGTTCGCTCATGCTAAGAGTGTGTATGCATATACAGTCACATATCATTTGGGACTTTTTTCATCTTTCTCTTTACACAAATAAGGTTATATGACTACTTAAAGTTTTTTGGAAGGTGGTCTGGGTGGCTCAGTCGGTTAAGTGTCTGACTCTTGATTTCATCTCAGGTCATGTTGAAAAAATGGTTCAGTTAATGAGATTGAGCCCTACGTTGGGCTCCACGCTGACAGCATAGAGCCTGTTTGGGATTCTCTTTCTTTCCTTCTCTCTCTCTACCCCTCCCCTGCTTGTGCTTGCTCTCACTCTCTCTGTCTCAAAATAAATAAATAAACAACAAAAAAAATTTTTGGAGACCTGTCCATGACAAGAAAAAAAGATCTATGTAGTATTTTTAATTGCCGCAAAGAATTAGTGATTTTGATTGTGTCGCACTGTGACCTGTACAGTCTTCTTTTCAGATTCAGGTAGTTTTATATATGGCCTATAATTGATTCATCATTGCAAAATTCAGTTCATTCATTTAACAAATACTTACTCCAGGCCAACAGTGTCGTGGGCACTGGCCTAGGTTCCAGGGATATGGTGACAGAAAAGAAAGATGTGAGAGAGAGTTCCAGCCTTCTTGGGGCTTATTGGTTAATGAACACTTTTAAAATAATGCATCTGCTCTGCTTGCTGACTTTGCATACACACACACACACACACACACACACACACACACACACAGAATCCTGCCAGTTGTGTTAATCTCGTCTGAAGGCAGACTTTTCCTGTTAAGGGCCAGGTTATAAATATTTTAGGCTTTATGGACTATGTATGGTCTCTGTCACATATTTTGCTTTGCTTTGCTCTGTTTTGTCAAACATGTAAAAACTATTCTTAGTTCTCGAGCAGCACAAAACCAAGCCATAGGCTGAATGTGCCACAGACCGTCGGTTACCAGTGACCACGTAGTCACTGTGTCCTACCTGATTTATTCTTAACTCTTCTGATCTGTGGACTACTGAGAGCAGTGTGTTCAAGAATTCCACTCTGATCAGGGGTTTTTCTTGTTTTGTCTTCTAAAATCTCAGCATGTCTCATCATAGTTAAGGTCACTCCTGTTCCTCACAGTAATTCTTTTTCATTCTGGGAAGACTGGGAGCCTTCCTTGTGCTCCCCATTTTCATGTTGTCAAGGCTGGCAATTATTACGACCACCATAAATAAACATGTTGTTGGGGGCTACTAGGTTTATAGATGAGAGTTTACTTATCAGGTCCCCAACGTGTCCCTGGAGTCAGTCAGGTATGGGCCTTGTCCTGGGCCACTGTGGCCAGCGAAGAAGGGACAGACGGGCACTCAGGCTGAAAACAGACCAGCAGATAGAGCAAAGACTTCCCCCCACAGAGAATAAAATTTGGAACCTGAGGGTTAATTGGGGCAGTTGCTTGGCAAGCTGCTTAGCATTGTAGGATGTGCCCGTTGCCAGTTGACCTTGACTATGACCACCACCTGCTCCCAGCCTGTCATTCTTCCAGCCTCTTCCAGAATGATCTTAGGACAGTCTGTCCCATTGGAGTGTCAGTTGGCCACAGAAAGCTGAGAAGAGGATTTCACTCTTAGGCCTAGCCTTTACTTTTTCCATGGCTGTTGTTTTTGTATCCTGCTACCTTAGCGCTGTCTGCTACAGCAGATGGCCCCATCTCACCGCAGGCAGCCATTCTTTGTGCAGAGAGCTGGCACTCCCACCGTGAGATCCTTCACCGCCTATCCTGGCCACTGGCCCCGGCTACTTCAGGCCCAAGGACTCTCCAGGCCATTTCTGCCCAAAGGCTTCCTCTCCTCCCACCAAGTAGACTGCTCAGCTCAGCACTGAGCCACTTTGCCAGCATCTCGGGCCCGTCTGCTTCAAATCTCTGAGAAAGTCATCATATCAAAGTTCATTGACATCCTTCTCGTTTGCTGGCGCTGCTACAGAGTTTTTCCTCATTTTTATATTTATTTGGTTATTTCAGTAGGAATTTAAGAGAGAAAAACAAACTTTTAGGCTCAAGTCACCCTCTTGAAAACAGAACACATCTTGGGAAAGTCTTATATGGAAGCAGTCACATTTTATGTACATAGGGGAGCTCTCTGTGTTAGGTGCGTTTGATCCTCGAGTTTTGTGGAAGCATAGCCACTGGCCTTGATTATTCCATCTGGTAGAAAGAAGTTCTGGAGGCACCTGGGGGACTCAGTTGGTTAAGTGTCTGACTTGATTTCGACTCAGGTAATGATTTCTTGGTTTGTGAGATCAAGCCCCGTGTCAGGCTTCGTGTTGGGCATGAAGCCTGCTTAAGACTCTTTCTCCCTCTACCCCTCCCATGCCTATGCTCTCTTTTGAGGAGGAGAAGGAGGAGGAAATGAAGATGGAAATGTTGTTAATCTGGATTTGTTTCCATTCCCCTGCTCTTAGACGGCATAAGTGCATTTAGGGCTCAGATGGCTCTAACGGAGTAAAAGCTTTGTGCTTGTTTTTCTCAGTCAGGAATAGATTAGCTTATGCTTTCAATTACTTGGACCAGCAATCTTGGAGTCGTCTTTAAATTCTCCCTTGTTCTCTTGCTCCCACATCTAATACATCAGCATATCTACTGGTGTGTCCTTCAGAACCACTCTACCACTCCCTGCGCAATCCCAGCCATTGACCTCTCCCATGTGCATTACAGAAATAGCCTCCTACCCGCTCCAGCCTCCCTCCTCACAGCAGTTGGGATGATCCTGTAAAGCAGGGGTCAGGTCATGTCCCTTCCTTGTTCAGAACCTTCCAGTGGCTTCTAGTCTCATTCAGAATAAAGACCAGAGTCCTGACAATGGCCTCTGTGGCTGTGTGCTCTGTGGGCTCCCCGCCTGCTCCCCTTCCCCATGCCCCTCCTCCTGCAGCTTCACAGGACTTCTCACTGGTCCCCCAACCCACCCAGCAGGTGCACACTTTAGAGCCTTTGCACTATTGTGCTCTCTTCCTGGAGAAGACACTCTTGTTCAAATATCCATGCACCTCCCTCACTTCTTAAAGGTCTCTGCTCATAGATCAGTGGTGCCCCCCAGACCTCCCTATATCAATAACACCCAACCCTGTTCCTACCCTCTGCTGCACCCCTGCCCTTCCTTCCTTCCCTGAGTTTCTCCATAGCACTTAACACGTTGCTCATGCTGGTTGGTTTCTTTGCTGTCTGTACCTGCTTCTAGAATGTAAGCACTTAGCAGAAAGGACCTTTATCCGATTGCTCATTGCTGGGCCTTCACTGCCTATAACAGCATCTGGAGTTTACTTAGTGTCTAGGAAGCATTTGTTGATTGAATGAGTGAAAAATCCAAACTCTCTGTGTCCTAACTATAACTTTTAGGAGAACCCACGTATCATGAAGTTCTGGTTGCTTTCAAAACACACAAATGACAAAGCAAGTTATACAGAAATCTTTGTCTAACAAGTTCTGTGTATACTTTAGAGACCTTTCGTTTTTTTTGTTTTTTTTTTTTTTTGTGTGTGTGTGTGTGTGTAGCATGCAGGTACTTTGGTTTAAATTCTGCTTAATGCCAGCTCAGTTATTTTGGAGAATGAATGGGATTGGGTTTCTAAATCCTAATACATTTCGTTTATTGACTTACAGATGGAGAGCATCCCAGCTCATCAAGAGCATGCCCGCCTCTGACCTGCCCCAAGTCAGGGCAAAGGTTGCAGCCATGGAAATGTTGAAAGGTCAAAGGGCCGACCTGGGGCTGCAGAGAGCCTGGGAGGGCAACTATCTTGCTTCGGTACGTCCAGGAGAACAAAGTACAGTCAACTGCTGCTCCCCTTACAAAGAAAGGGAAGAATTTTTCTGCAATAATTTGTGGGAAGAACAAGACACCTACAGAAACTAAACTTCTGTAAACTATAAGATACTCACCTAAAAGATTTTGTTGCTTCTAACTGTGCAATATTTGATGTTTCCCCTCCTTTAAAAAAAGGTTGTCTGTGTCTCTGTGCCGTATGTATTAAGTACACTCCACAACCTAATTTTTGAGCATTTAAACCTTCCCTTGCATAATTCAGCAGCTATTTTTAATTACTACCTTTATACTAATTATTCCCAAAGCTACATTTCATTCTCCCTCCCATCCCTTATTCTAAAAATCTTACAGGCCCTTTGGTATTGTAACACCCCTGTAGCAGCTCACCATCTGGGATGGGAGATAAAAGTATGTGTGTGAAACTGAGCATGGTTACAAAGCAGGCAACTGAAAGATTGCCTTTTCATCTAAAATGCTAAGCAGACTCATTTTATCATGTTTCCTTTTTCAGAAGCCAGATACTCCTCAGACATCGGGCACTTTTGTCCCCGTCGCAAACGAACTGAAACGGAAGGACAAATACATGAACATCCTCTTTTCCTGTCATGTCCGTAAGGTGAGGTGGTCTTGAAACAGACGTCCGTGGGAAGAGAAGATGCATTCAGATGAACCTAACTTAGCTGTGGCTCTGGAAGCCCTCACCATAGGTGCATCCCCTGCCACACCACGAGTGAGCCCTCTCTGCCCGTGGTGAGGCGCGGGTTCAGTGGCTGAGGTGACCGCAGCTTCAGGGTTAGGCTCTGAGCCTTTGTAAGGGAAGTGAGGCCTCCCTGAGATCAGGGATTTGTATTTTACTGCATGTGTGTCTTTCCTACCATGTGCTGGTCTACCTTGGATTTCATGGTCATTTAGTACTTTTTTTAAATGATTGTTTTTAATGTTTTATTCATTTTTGAGAGAGAGAATGAGAGAGCAAGCACGAGCAGAGGAGGAGCAGAGGGAGAAAGACAGAGGATCCAAAACAGGCTCCTTGCTGACAGCAAAGAGCCCAATACAGGGCTTGAACTCCTGTATGATCACAAGATCATAACCTGAGCTGAAGTCAGATGCCCAACTGACTGAGCCACCCAGGCACCCCAGATGGTCATTTAGTATTTTTTTATACATGTTTTATTACTTTTTTTAAAGGAGGGGAGGGAGGAAGGACATAGTTTAGAAAAGAGAGAAGGACAGAGGATTTGGGAGGTGGGGGAGGGGGAAGTTATGAGTTATTAATATAGTTGCTTATCTGAGACAACACGTGTGTGTGGACTGTTATTTACCTGCAGATGATGGCCGTTGGGCAGGTAGAAGTGTGGAAGTTGGAGGGTGGATGGCAGAGGACATAGTTAGGTTTTTTTTTTTTTAATTTTAGAATGCTTGTTTTCAAAAAATACAAAAGACATTGCAGTAATTAATAAAGCACTGTGCAAAATTAAGTAAATAAATTTCAAAATATTAAAGAAATGGGTGAATTTAAGAAAAATATTTCCTAGATTGAGCCCAGAAGAAATACTGACATAAATATGCCAGTATATTTCCAAAAGAGGAATTATCTCATGACAAAAGCCCAGGTTTGGGTGATTTTACAGTTGTTTTGTTTCAAATCTTGAAAAAGTACACAACTGCAATATTATTCAGGTCAAAATAATGAAATACTTTTCCATTGTAAGTTTGGCAAACTTTGAGATGTTGATACCAACTAGCATTTGCAAGAATTTAGAGGAAACACTGTTGGTAGGCATCCTTCTGAGTGAATAGTTTGGCAATAGCTATCAAAAATTTAAATGCTTAGACCACTTAATCTAGGAATTCCACAACGCAGGATTTATTGTACAATATAGTCATACATATATACAAAGATAGAGTTTTATACATTGTAATAGCCGAAAAACTGGAAAAATTGCATCAATGTATGATTAGACTAATAATGGTGTATGTGCACTGTAGAATGTAGTGTGGCTATAAGATGAACAAAAGAAGGATACACGTTAAAGAGACTTGATACCATAGTTTTCTGGTCAGCGCACTTCAAGTAGGGGACGACAGCAATTCCTGAGATACAAGAAGCAGACAAGTGAGACCTACAGTTAACTGGTCTACTTCCTTGAGAGGTTTTCTAGTCTGTGGATGAGTCGGGGAGCCAAGGCAGAGCTCAGTAGATCCCACTAGTGAAACAAAGAGCTGAGCTGGAAGACACCAGGGCAGCTGGAGTTTAAAGAGCCGAGAGCCAGAGAAAAGCAGGCTGCAGAGAGGGACCTCCCAATAGCCTCAGAGGGTCTGCAGCAGGTGTTCACCTGGGCACTGCTCAGCATGTGCACATGAAGAAACTGCCCAAGGTCAGAAAAACAACCGTGCCAGAGGATAAGCAGCAGCATTGGCCAGTACTCACCAAGCATTGCGAATAGTACCTGCTCTCACCAACCCTTGGGGAAAAAACCCTCATGATTCATTGGATACCGGGTAGAGTACTGATAGGAATCATTGGTCTTGGGGAGTAATTAGCCCTTGACTCAATGTTGCCCTCATCCCAGCCAACAAATCTTGAAAACATGACCCAAAAGAATCAGACTGTTTCCAAGTAACCTGTGCTCCAGAACAAAGCTGAAAAGTATTTATGGGAATACAAACTCGCTAGCCCCCAAAAGATAAAATTCAGAATTCATACCATTGGATACAAAATTACCAGGCATGCCAAACAGCAGGAAACTGCAGCCTATAATGAGAAGAAAAGTCAGTCATTCAAACTGATCCAGAACTGACCTAGATTATAGAATTAAAAGTCAAGATCATTAAAATAATTGTTAGGCATATATGTTATGGATAGAGATGAAAAATACAGCATCTGAGATCTTTTTTTTTTTTTTTAAATTTACTTGATGAGATTAACAGCAGTGTAGACACTGCAGAAGAAAGATTTATAACCTTGAAGATACAGCAATAAAAGTATCTCCAGTGAAACACAACAAGAAAAGGAGGGGAAAGATGCCACCGCCTCAAAAAAGAGCAAAAAATCCGGACCCTGTGGACCAACATCAAATGGCCTAATACATGTGCCTGTGGAGTCCCTATAGGAGAGAAAGGGGAAATTTAAAATATTTGAAAAAATATTGGCTGAAATTTTTTCAGATTTGAGGAAAACTACAAACTCTTAGATTCAAGAAACTCAACAAACCCCAAACACAAAGCAACATGAAGAAAACTGTACCAAGGCACAACATGATCAAATTGCTTAAAAGCAATGATAAAGAGAAAAAAGAGGGGCGCCTGGGTAGCTCAGTCTGTTGAGCATCTGACTCTTGCTTTTGGCTCAGGTCATGACCTCACAGTTCATGAGTTTGAGCCTCACAGTGGGCTCTGTGTTGACAGTGTGGAGCCTGCTTGGGATTCTCTCTCTGCCCCCACCCTGCTTACTCACACTCTCTCTCACAAAATAAATGTTTTAAAAAGAGAGAGAGAAAAAAGACGGAAGAGAAAGATCTGAGGATACATCAGATCCCTGGTCAGAAAACAATGCAAGTGAGAAGATAGTTGGAGCAACAACGTTAAAACTTCTTGTTCTGAAAGAAGAAAAAAGCTGTCAACCTAGAATTCAGCACCCAGCAACTACATCTTTTAAAAGCCAAAGTGAAATAGGGGCATCTGGGTAGCTCAGTCTGTTAAGCGCCCAACTTCAGCTCAGGTCACAATCTTACCTTTTGTGAGTTTGAGCCCTAGGTCAGGCTCTCTGCTGTCCTACTCTCTCTCTGCCCCTCCCCTGCTTGTTCTCTCACTCTCAAAATAAATAAACTTTAAAGAAGTTTTTTAAATAAATAAATAAATTGAAGTGAAAGAAAAACTTCTTCAGACATATCCAAAAATGTGCATTACCGGAAATGTTAGAGAATGTCCTTCAGAGAGAAGTGATTCCAGATGGTAATATGGGCATATACCAAGGAATGAAGAGTAAGGGGAATGGTGGCCATGTGTGGAAATACATAATATTTTTCTTATTATTTAAATCTTTTGGGGTGCCTGGGTGGCTCAGTTGGTTGAATATCCAACTTCAGCTCAGCTCATGATCTCACAGTTTGTGAGTTTGAGCCCCGCATCAGGCTGTCTGCTGTCAGCGTAGGGCCCACTTTGGATCCTCTGTTTCCCTCTCTCTCTGCCCCTCCCCTGCTTGTTCCCTCTCTGTTTCTCTCAAAATATATAAGTAAACAAACAAACTTTAAATCAACCAACCAATCAATCTCTTGAAAAGATAATTGTATACCAGTGCCCATAGCAGCATTCTTCACAGTAGTTAAGGTGGAAACAGCCCAAATGTCCATGAACAGATGAATAAAGAATACATGTATCCACACAATGTAATACTATTCAGTCATAAAAAGGAATGAAATACATGATACAGCATGAATGACCTTGAAGATATTATCTGAGTGAATAAGACCAAAAAAAAGGCAAATATTGTATTACACTTATGTGAAGTAATAGATTCATCACCTTAATAGAGAAAAAAAGTAGAAGAGTGGTGACCCAGAACTGGGGCATTTAAATATTCTAAGGAAGAAGAGATCACCTCAATGTAATACAGACTTTTTAACAAACTAGAGAGTAGCTTTTTTACAACTCAGAATGAAATAAACATCACCAAGGAAAACTTGCTGACAGTATGTTGGAGTCCAGTTCTGAACTCCTAGGTCCAGAAACTCTTTTATAAGTGTACCTGGAGTTGATCAGACAATCAGGAAATAGCTTTTGCTGACCGGAATCAGACACAAAACCATATATAAGCCACAATGTCAATTGGTGAATTTCACAAAGGAATATATCATTTTAGTGACTTCTCATATCTACTATCTAGGGCAATTCCTTTCTAGTATCAAGCTATGTGAGAAATTAGTCATCAGAACAGTTGATCAAAGAGCATTGAATGGTTTTAAGAATTATGTCATTACAAAAAAAAAAAAGAATTATGTCATCTACTGTGGAAGAACCTGGTGTCTCTGATTCATCTCCAGTGATGACAGTTTGATGTCTGACAGCATGTCTCTCCCTGGATCCTGCTCGATAAAAGCTGAAAATTTTTTAGTCATGCTCTTGTGTTTCTAAATTCAGTGAAAAATAATATTTCTTCACACTGTACCTTAAATAATTAAATTTTTTTATTTGAGTGTAGTTGGCACGCAATGTTACACCAATTTCAGGTACAACATAGTGATTCAACAACTCTACCTTATGTTCTGCTCACAAGTGTAGCTACCATAGGTCACCAGACCTCATTATTACAGTATCATTGACTATATTGTCTATGCGGTCCCTTTTATTTCCATGACTTTCCATAGCTGGAAGCCTGTTTCTCCCACACACCTTTATGCAAATGCCCATCCTTTGGCCACCATCAGCTTGAGTTTCTTTTCTGTATTTATATGTCTATGTCTGATTCTGTTTGTTTATTCATATGTTTTCTCTTTTATTTTTTATTTTTTTAATGTTTATTTATTTTTGAGGGAGAGAAAGAGAATGATAGAGCGTGAGCAGGGGGAGGGGCAGAGAGAGGGGGAGACACAGAATCCAAAGCAGGTTCCAGGCTCT